CAAGAAGGGTCCAACCAGCAAAGCTGATCTGGCAACTGCTATCAAAGAGAGTTGGCACCAAATTGATGAAGAATACTGTTTGTCACTCATCAAGTCCATGCCTCAAAGACTGAAAGCTGTTATAAAAGCCAAAGGTGGTGCAACTAAATACTAGTGATGTATTTTGAATGGTCTTTTGTTTATGCGTTTTTCATGATTCCATACTTTTTTCCTCAGAATTGAGTGATTCCATATTTATTTCCCTGTGTTTGGTCAATAAAAGTATCATTCACTGACTTCCACAATGTTTTCTCTTCATTTCTTTGAGTGTTCCTGAAGGCCAACAAGTTGCACTTTGGAACGACCTTAATATTGTATCATGTTTTTGATCTGAGTTTGTTTTACAGCATGAAATGTCTGAATGAGTGCTCATCCAAGACTGGTGATTCCATACTTTTTGCCAGGGGTTGTAATCCTTAAAATAAATGCATTTACCATAAAGATGAGTAGATAAGTAAGATGATAAACTGGTGGGATGAGTATTTCTCCTCTTAAAATAAAATGGTCAGATATTATGCACTTGAAATAAGAGACTGCATTTGTTTTTCTCTTGTTGTAAATGTAAATTGTATAATTCCATTGGCATAGTCCTTAATTCAAGAAAAAATGCACTTGTTTTAAGAAAGATTCCCTTAAATTTCAGCTTTTTTTTTGCAGTGTTACATTTCAGTAGGGATCTACTTGTTTCCACTTCACAAAATGGTTCCGATTCAAGTGTTTTTTTTTTTCCAATTTGGGAGAATTAGTTATATAATTATTCCATGCTGCAAATATGATTAAAGTGCTTCAGCCTAAAATCAGTACAACATTCAGACCTTGTATATGAAATACTTAGCCATCCTATTCTGATAGGAGCTGTTCTGAAACAAAAGCACAGATTTATCTCTGCATGATTTTTGGAAATAATCCCTTTTTAGGAAAAACACAGAAGGACCAACACACAGATTTTAGCTTCTGTCTTCTAGTCACTAAAACAAATAAGATCTGTTTTTGATGGTTTGTTTATCCAGCTCAGGGAGGTGCTTAACTCTTACCTCTGAAATGCCACTTGTCTAATCCTGATTTTAACATAAAAGCTATGAACAAGCTGCTGGGCTGTGATTGAAATTGAGAATTTGAATTAATCCTGTGGGATACATGTGGCCTATAAATGTTCCCTCGATCCATCCTGGCCGACATGTTGGGCATTGATTTGAAACGTTTAGAGCAAATGGCTGCTATTGGATAATATGCAACATCCTAACCTGTTCCTGCAGGATTCCACCCGTAGATCCACTGGTCCCAGTAGCTTCCCATAATAACCTGATGGGAACCAGAAGATGATTATTACAGGAATATTTTTTAATCATGTTTAAAGATTCTTCTACTTGATAGTTTTGTATGTTGCATCGCTTCTCTTAGTGTTTAGTAAATCTGATTTCAGCAACTATGTTCATTGAAAACAAGGTAGAGGGTGCCTCTACAGAAAATGTTGTATTACATATATAATAATCTGTTGCTTCACTTAATGAATTTAGAGCTTATACTTTGACGAAATGATTAAAAATATAACAAAAGCCCTGAAAACCAGTACAATATTTATAAAAGTACTTGATTAATTTTTGGACAGAAATATTTTTGGAAGTAGTTTTACTGCACCAGACTTTTTCAGTTTAATATCTTAAGTTTGGCTTCTAGATTCTTCATAACATCACTGAATAATTAAGGAGAATGTATTTACTCAAGTAAAAGTGAGAAGTAGCCACCTAAGAAATTCCTCAAGCAAGAGTAACTATGATGCTGAATTGTTACTTTTACTATATGTATGGGTACTCTATCCACCTCTGTATAAACTCCTGTTCTCTTTAGGACAATAGTTTAATTCAATTCAATTCAGTTTATTTCTATAGCGCCATTTCACAACACATGTCATCTCAAGGCACTTTACAGTTCACCAGA